GCGCTGCGATATTTTCATTTGTGGAGATTTGGTACGCATAGGTTTTTTTCGTATGCGCACATACATATGTATGTGTGCATGGGTGTGCTTGCGTGCGTGCGTGCGTACTCGCGTGTGTGCGTGCGTACGTGCGTGCGTGCTTGCGTTAGTGCGTGCTAATGCGCGTGTGCGGCGGTGCATAAGTGCGCCTGTGCGAGCGCGCGTACTCGGCGTAGTGCGCCATGCACGTGCTGTTGCGTGCTGTGGCGTTAGTGCGCGTGTTCGTAAGTGTGTGTTGTGTGCGTGTTCCGCTGCGCGGTCGTGGGTTGCATCAAGTGGAACAATTGCTTATAAGACCCACGTCGTGTTGCCTTCATCGTCGCGATGCACTGCTGCACCTCTGCATGGTTGAACACGTGCGCCGGCGCCGCTGTTCTCGCCATGACAGTCGCGAACTATATCTAGCCGTGCGCCGCCCTAAGATCGACACGAGGCGCCGAGCAAACACTAAGCCTTGTCTTCACAAGCGCACATTCGGGTCAACTGGACGGTGGTCCAGATAAGCTCGCACAGTATATAACACAGCATTAATCGTGCCACGATTCCACGTGCGACAGTAATACGATGAAATGTCAAGTAACCGAGCGCGCTGGCACATTAGAGAATCAACTTGGAGAGAAAACAAGGAAATCCTCTTACGAATGCACGCACGGGACGTGTATCTCCGCTCGAAGCGACCTAGGCTAACACGAAAAATACATCTTGGCACCATCTTCTGCGATCGCACAGAAACGTGCCAGAATCTATGATTCGAGAAAGCGCCCCCACCCGGCCCGCGTGTGTGTTTGCGCGTGGTCGTTGCTGTTGTGCGTGTTGTGTGGGTGCTGCGGGGTGTGTGTGTGCGTCGTCCTGCTGAGCTGTGCTAGCGATGGCATGTGTGGAGTGTGTGGTGTGTGGTGTGGCGTCTGCGTGCGCTTGTGTGTTAGTCTGTTGTTCTGTGTGTGTGTGTGTGTCGCGCTTTGCATGCCATGGTGTGGTGAGTGGTGTTGCTGTGTGTTGCGCGCGCGCGGTGTGGTGTGTGTGTGTGTGGGTATGCGCGCGGCGGTGTGTGGTGTGTGTGTGGCCGTGTGTGCGTGTGTGCGTGTGTGTGTGTGCGTGTGGCGTGTGCTAATCGTGTGGCTGCGCGCATGTGTTGTGCGTGCGCGCCGCCAGTCGTGATGTGCTGTGTGGCTGTGTGTGCTGCGTCGGTGTGTCGTGTGTGTGTAGCGTGCGCGAAGTGCGTGGTGTGGTGTAGGTGCAGCGTCGTGCGTCGTGTAGCCCGCGCGCGCGCGCAGCGCGTGTTGGTGTGTTGTTGTTTGGTGCTGTCGTTGTGTGTGGTGGTGTGTGTGTGTGTGTGTGTGTGTGTGTGTGTGTGTGTGTGTGTGTACTGTTACGTCAATAGCCTGCCACTCGTCGCCAAAACCCTTATAGCTAGGTCAGGGAAGAACACGCACACTCTCAAATAAACGAGGCCTCCTCTGCCGAACCCGCGTGTACCGATGAGCTTATAGAACATCTTCATGTTTACTATACAAGCGAATGCACTCGACGTGGCCGACTACCGCGCATGCACGCCGCTCTGCGTTATTCGTGTGCACACGTTGATGTGTCGACCCGTAGAAAGCTACTGATGTTCGGCTCGTTCGCCTCTACCGCTGCTATATCTCATTAAACGGCAAGCGGCGAGAATAAATCGTTCACGTTGAATTAGCATTATGTATGGTGACACGGATGCAGAATGGATAGCAGGGCGACCATTAATGTTCGATTGACACGTGTGCGCGTCGGACAGCGATGGCGATAAGAAGGCGATGCATAGCAATTTCGAATGTTTATTCATGTATGATGTATTGCGCTGCATATATTAGAAATTTGGCGCGCAAAGATCTAATAAACACGTTAGGAAGTAATCGTTTAAACGTTAAGCATTCATTTTGCCGCGTGCGATTTTTTTCGCGCGCGCCAAAAAATTCGCTACGAGCGCCCATTAAATGTTATCACTACGCAAAAACTGAACATCGGTTTGCATGGTAATCATTTAACTAGTTATCCAAACCGGATATTTTAGCTGGAACTTGCCTCGGCCGGAAATGCCCGGTCGTTCACTGTATGTTCCGAACCGAGTGCGTCTTTCATTCCAAAGTGAACGTGTATGGCGTGAAAGGTGTAGTGGTAGGCAAGAGGTCCTCCACTGATCGTCAAATGCACATCAGACGAGTCGTTACTCGGTTTATACACCAAGTTGTGTCCGTTATTCGAAAGTTGACCACGCAGCTGAAAAAAATTGCCGCAATTGTCAAAAAGAACTTAGCCAACATCGTCATGGCTGTACGCGTTATCTTCCATGCGAAGCGAACAACGTGTTTATGATCCAACAAATTTGATGTTTGCACGAGGAATTACATTTCCGCGAACGGCAAAATGCCACGTAAACGCAAACGAAGTCCCTGTGTGTGGGGAAAAATTTCCACAAGAAGCTTGCGCAAACACGCGTGCTGTAGTGATGCTGCTTAGTTAATCACCATCGCTAATTAAGCATAGCAGACTGAATCCGAAACATAATAAGGCGAATATATTTCCTTAATGTACTTAATTACTGGATTTTAAAATAACACTCAATCAGAGCTTGTTAGAGAGAGGAAATAACATTAGATGCTCACTCTCAGTCTGTCTATGTGCGATATGTGATGTCGATGTGTAGGCCTATATATTAAGGATACCAGACTGAATCCGAAACATAATAATGCGAATATATTACCTAATCACTGGATTTTAAAATAACACTTAAATCAGAGCTTGTTAGAGAGAGGAAAGAAGGACGCTCACCCTCAGTCGGTCTATGTGCAGCGGTCGAAGATGCGGATCGTAGAGCAGCTTCGCAGGGTCGATGTTGATGGGAGACTGTCTCCTACCCTGCTCACACATCGCCCAGTCTGGCACGACTATAAGTCCCCAGTAGTCAGGCCCTGAAGGAAATAATATATGAATAACTTTAACATAAATATCACAAGATTACACTTAAGTTACGCTCTGAAATATTTGCATATTTTTCTTATTTTTTCTCCATTTTTTTATACGTATCTAGTTCAGTAGAGTGCATCTATTAAGTAACAAGAACAGTCACATGAAGTTGCTTCCGTGGTATTTATTGTACTAATGACATGCAGCATCTTTAGCATCTCTAGCATTCCTCCACTGTTAATTATTAGTCTGCGTATTCGTATCTGTGTTCGTTAGATGTTTCATGATAAAATGATTCTATGAGAACCGCTACGAATAGCCAGATATTATAACACATCCAATAAAACATCCAAAAAACCATAGGCCTATATGGATATCATATATGGATATATGGATAATCATATATGGATGTAAATATCCAGATATATCCAGATATAAAGCATCGCAAATAAATCATGTTTATTGTCGTGCTTTACTGTTTGACTCAGAGGTTCTCTTCTCTAGAGAGCCTTCAGTAGGAATTCTGCTTATTCGTCGCTCCCGCCTCCTCGCACTACTTTTCCGGAAGCCATTCGTGCTGCTTCACCGAAAATCTTCTTGATACCTCATTGCCTAGCTACTTCGCGTGAAAATGACAAGATATTACTTTGCGCTCGAGTTTATTACCAGCCGTTCGTACCCATGCAGCGCACATTCCCCTCACGGCGCTGAACGCCTTTATGTTCTATGTAATTTCTTCATTTTGTGTGTGCGTGCACGTAGCGAAGCGCGCAAATCTAGGCTGCGTGAAAAGAGGGGAAAAGCGATACAATAAAACACTTTGCATCTTCGCATTCTAAAGCCCCCGGAGCGCTCGCATGCATGCTTGCCGAGCCGTAGTCAGCCATCGTCACGGTCGCCGCGTATCGACGCATGCGCAGACCGACCATGAAACACAATGTCAAGCTTCCCTGAAGGCTACGCGCGCGGAGAGGATTTGAATATGTATATATATATATATATAATATATATATATATATATATATATATATATATATATATATAACACAGCGATAAAACAATAATATCGTTTAAATGGCGGAAGCGTGTTACTCGACAGACCAAGAACGATTGCTCACGTGATCGCCACGTCATCGGCAAAAACCTACCGTCGAATTTCGAGAGTTTCATAAAAATAAAGGAATCGAGTAATTCCGCGAGCGGCGCTCTAGTCGCTGAGCAATTAAGCACTTGATTCGCCGAGTGCGTGTTCGCGCGCGCGCGCGAGAGAGAGAGATTAATTATCTGGAAAGATTCGCGAAGTATGGCCAGGATTTCAATTACCGTAGCAAGTCCTTTAAACATGGCCCCGACTTCTTTTCTGCTCGCTTTTTCTTCAGCGTCATTCTGCCGTTAAATTGAGCTTTTATTGTCCGTTTCTAGCTTTGTCGCATGGATTCAATTTGCGCTATTTGCAAAATAGCCAGAAGCCGCCTCCACTCGTTGATATTCAATCCGATACTTCGCTGGCCTGGCGCCTGCGCGCGCGCGCATACACACGCCACTGATACACGCGCACTCACACGCGCGCACACTGCACATGTGAAAAATGGCAAACATACATCAAAACCGTATGTGTCGCGAACAGAATTTTCAATTCACTAGATGACCTGTGCGAAATTTAATTACCGGGATGTAAATGCGACTTGAAGTAGTTTTTACTGCTTAATGCAATGAGATTTCCATATTCAGAGCACGTCGTTGATGTAGGCGCTGGCCGGCCTTTTTTTTCACGTCCACGTAGAAAAGCAAAATGTTCTGATAGTTTTTTGCATTATAAATTCAATACGCATGTAAATCGGTTATGCGCCAGGATAACTATTTCGGTTGGCAATATAATGTGAGTATATACGATGCATATACGAAATGGGCTTGGTGACAATACTGTTGTTTAAAGATGGTATATAATATCTGTTGAAACACACACAAGCGCGCGCAGACACACACACACACACACACTCTCACACACACACACACACACA